GTTTGGGAGTGGGGGGCTGATCGGGGGAGCAATGCGCACACACGCAACACACACCCCCGAACCCGCACGCACACTCACACTCACATGCAACACCCATGTCCCCAAACACGTCTAGAGCTCGGAGCGCGACGCCTTGATGCCGGCCGTGGCCGCGCTGCTGCAGGCGACGCCCGCCGAGTTCGCCGCGATGCAGCGCGTGCTCGCCAACACGGCGCCCTCCGCCACGCAGCTGCTCTCCACCTTTGGCATCAAGCTGTAGCTGCAACCCCGATCCCTAGATCTGTTTCCTGCGGACCAGGTTTCCCCTGTATCTCCGGCCGCGGCGCGGCGTGGTGCGCCTGCCGCGCCGCCTCGCCGCCGCGCCGCCGCTCCCCTTCTTCCTGTTTGACCCGCGGCCGCGCAGCGACCGCCCTGCGCCGCCGGGCGCGGCGATGCGTCGCAGCCTGAGCCTTGCAGGCGACGGCGCGGGCAGCGGATAGCCAGCGGTCTCTTGGTGGGCCCACCTTGCCTGCAAAGCGTGGTTGTTAAACTGTAGCTGTAGCCCGGCTGCGCCCGCCTCCAATAGCGCCTGCACCCCTGTTGGTTTCGAACGGACACCTACGCGTCGGCGACTGTGGTGCTCACGCGTGCGCGCGCCGGAGGCCCGGCGTCTGCCGTAGGCCCGGAAGCACGCGCGCCTGCCCTGCCGCACGCGGCTGGCCACGCGTCTGCAGGCGCGCCCGCCCTGTCGGCCGCAGGTCGCGCCTCTGTTCCTGGGTTGTGGCCCCATGGAAGCGGCGTGCCTGCTGCGTGCATTCGCTGCAGCAGCATTCGGGCCCGCCGCCGATTTCTGCTCCTCTTTGCAGAGCGGTGGATCGCCGCAGCAAGCTGGCCAGCCCCTGTATCCTCTACGCGGAGCGGTGTGTCGATTTTTCTGCGCCCGCCCTCCGCTGCGGCGCTGCACCCACCTTGAGGTTTGTGACACCGCTGCCGCCGCAGCAGCCCCAGCTGCAATTGCAAAATGCAGCGATATAAGCGCCAGATGTGCAGCCTACGAGGAGTGCGCGCTGGCGGCAGGCTTATTTCTTTATCCGTTACATATCAGCACGTCATATCAGTCAGACGGCAGCTGGTCATTTACACTGCAGCCCAGCACTGACGCCTATAGCGCCAGCTCCGACACGCCACGCCGCCAATGGCAAAACGGACTGAGCAATTCTGCGGGCGCCGTCGAGGCAAAGCAGCAATCTGCACAATGTACTACTGTACACTCCTTAGTCAGTGTGGTCATGCACAGTCAGCGCTGACGAGCTGCGCGGCATGGGCGCCGCCTGTGCATGGCTCATGACACGGACAGTTGCTTCCCGAAGTGAGGCATGGTGAAAAACGCCACGTCCAGCTGCAGTCGATTTGTTATCGATCCTGAACAGCCTGTGAGTGCCTTGATGTACTTAACAGGGTGAACTGCCGTCTCGGTGTGTTGGACCCCACAAAACAGTGTTCTTGGGGATTGAGGCCAAAGCAGGGAGACCCAAGAGACAAACCTGAACAGTGTATGTGGGGTTAAAAACCGAAGCAGTGAGACCAGAGCAAAAGCACCCAACCCCGCTCACCATAAACCCCATTGCTATCGTAGCCCTGCAGGAAAGGTGGCAGGACTCACATGCAGCGCTCGCTGCACCGCAAGCTGCAGCGCCCTCCGGCGAGCGCAGCACGCCGCCCCCTGCCCCGATTCACTGTGCCGCGACCACGCGCCGCTCAAGCTGGCGCCCAGCGACGCGGCAGCGGGCCCAGCCCCCCAAGGGCCTCCGCTCAAGCCGTCACGCGGGGCTGGACGTGTGTTAATTGTCACTTGCCCTGCATCAGCTCGTCCACCCACTCCAGCACGCCCTGGGAGTCCCCATCGCAGCACGCGGCGTGCAGCCGCGGGTATGCGTCCCCAACAAACCGCACGACACCGCCCGTTTGCTCGACGGCCCGGGCCACGGCCAAGCACACCGCCAGCCGCTGCGCTGCCGGCAGGCCCAGCGCGTGCGTGGCGCGGTCCACCTCGTGGCACGCACACACGAGGGCCGCGAGCAGTGCAGGGTCAATATCACTGCCCGCGTCCCGTGCCGCGGGCAGGGCAGGGACGGGAATGTCTCGCAGCTCTAGCAGCGCCAGCGCCACGTCCCCGCCCCCGCCCCCCTCGGCCGCCGCGCCGCCTTCTCCGCCGCGGCGCACGGCGGGGACGCCGCCCTCGACGCCGCGC